GGCGGCGGCGGCGGCGGCGGCGGCGGCGGCGGCGGCGGCTGCAGCAGCGACAGGAGTTGAGGATAGCGGCGGCGAAGGCAAAACAGTATCAATACTCGCCAGTCGAGTTTACCTTTGTAAAGCCGAATCCTCTTGAAGATACAAAATTAGGAACAAGTAATGAAAAATTAGGAAATACACAAATTCTTGTTGCCCTAAGCAACAAAAATGGTGCTGAACAAAAACACTCAAAATATTTATCCAACTATCACACTTTCTGCTCACTTAAATAATAAAATGCTTTTGTATAGTATTGCAATAAAATAAACATTTTAATAAAACAATTATCACGAAAACTGCTTAGATAAATTATAGTAAAAATACAGTTCTACAATTCTTGAAGTAGATGAAATAACAGACGTTGTCTTTGTCAATCAATTTTGTATTTGTTATCATTGTTTGCTTCATCTTTCATGCCCTCTTAAAAAGGCCAATAACAGTTTTAACGCCTTAACTTCAAGCACGTCTTGAAGCTTTCTTATATTTGAACCTTCGAGGGTGTTCTAATACATATACGTATAGTGTGTGTATATATATATATATATATATATATATATATATATATATATATATATATATAATGTGTAGATAACATGTTATAACTTAATATAGTATAGTAATAATAAAATAATAAAATATATATAAATAATAATATAATAAAATATATAAAATATTTTCTTTTTTTTACTAAAAAGGACTGATTCACCTTGAATACGTACCTAAAGAACTATTGTCGAAATTTTGAAGAGGGCACGCTGTGATTCGGAAATACCTAAATTGTGGGTTGAAAATTCAAATTTCATCATGACAACGCGCTGGCGCACGCCTCATGCCTTGTGACCGAGCACTTGTCGAAAAACGACACAAGTCCGCTCATTTAACTCAATCGCGGATAACGAGAGAAATTGTACAGTGGACTTTAAGACGATTCAGTAAGTAGCAACTTACTGTGCAATTGAAAGATAGAAAAAACGCTGAAAGTGGTGCGCGGCAAGCCAAGGAAAGTACTTTGAAGGCAACAAATATGTTCGAGATGTATGTTGACACACTTTGTAAAAAAGCGTCAACTCGACTTTGTATTCGATTTCAGACATTTAGTCTCCGTGTTTGCGTTATCGATATTCATTTTTTAGCTGCTATGAATTAATTCCTTTTCGTGATAATTAATAATGAATACGAACCGAGTTATTAATTCTTATTGTTTCATAATATTGTTCCTCCATTTTAATCAGCTGCTGATAAATTAGAAATAGCAGAATTTCAAATTTAAGTTAAAAGTAGTTACAAAAAGAGTTCTAGAATCTTTGCAGATTTTCGGAAATCTTGCTTAATGTACTCAACCCTGAGGCAGATACGACGTAATTTTAAAATAATCCCGATATTTCTAACCATTCTTCCAAATTCCCAAAATAGTTTCCCCGTCTTCATTTCCAACTACTAAACCGGGTCCTGCGGTGCTGCGGTGCTGTACTCACCTCCAATGTACTGCTTAATGTACTCAACTCTAAGACAGCTTAGACGTAATTTTAAATAATCCTGATATTTCAAACCATTCTTCCAAATTCGCAAGATAGTTTCCTCGTGTTCATTTTCAACTACTACACCGGGTCCTGCGGTGCTGTGGTACTGTACTCACCTCTAATGTACTGCTTAATTTACTCAACTCTAAGACAGCTTAGACGTCATTTTAAATAATCCTGATATTTCAAACCATTCTTCTAAATTCGCAAGATTCATTTCCAACTACTGAACCGGGTCTTGCGGCGCTGCGGTGCCGTGTTGCTGTACTCACCTCGGCGAGCGCCAGCCCCATGATGGTGAGGCCGAACTTGATGGGGGCGGCCGAGTCGTTTTTGTTGCGCGCGTCCCACACGCCGCACACCAGGAAGATGAGCACGCACGTCACCATGAACTCCGCGAGGAACGCCTGCACGTTGCTCAGGCTGGGGCTCGGGATGTTCAGGCACGAGGAGCAGCAGCCAAACTGCGTGTCGTTCCACGAGTGGTTCGGCGTCACGGCCTGCGGCGGAAAGCAAAACCATTACCAGACCGTGTCGTGGTGTCTGTGACCAGACCGTGTCTGTGACCAGACCGTGTCTGTTGTTGCATCGTGGTGTCTGTGACCAGACCTAGTCTGTGG